AACTTGAGATCCTGGCTAAATTACTTTACTAAGTTTTAGTTTCCCAATTTGTGGTATCAATCTACAAAAGATGAGATGTATGGTATGGTGCATACATAGGAGCACATTTAGAAAATGTTAAAGATCTATACTAAATGTACCATTGCTTACCCTTATCTCCCAAACCTATGCTTCCTAATTCTGCTAATATCCTTGTAATCTCCAGTTCTCCCTCTTAAGAAGGAAAGGATCTTTTCAGTTCTACATCACTAGTTGAGGCCCTACGACGACTAATACGCAGTAGTAACACCATTCCTAACTGTCCATTCCCAATCACTATCTCTTCTATAGCCTACACAAACTTTCTGAAGATTTGTATTTCTCAAAATCCTCTCATGTGTTCCAACCATCAAACAATCAAAATTCTAAGCAACCTTAGTAGATTCAAGGAATCAACTGGCTTTTGCCATGCTCCAAGGATAAAAGGACAGCCTCTGTCCAATTGTTTTCATGAGCTTTGCTGCTCTTGGAACACTTTGAATATCCATTGCCATGTGTCCTCTAAAACTCAATGGCCCCCTACCAAGAAACTATTGTGACAGCTCCACTCTCTAAAATACCACTATTATACCATGGTTTTATGGACAGCAACATATAGTAGGTATGAATGTGCCTTACACAGTCTTCTATAACTCATAAACTTAAACACACACAGGCAGAGTCACAGAATCTTAACAGTCCTTGCAAGCCCAAAGGACTCAGTTGAGAAGATTTTTCTAAAATGAGAGGTAAACAAGGAAGTTTTCTTTTTTCCAACTTTATATGTCATACCCTTCTATTATAGGAATATGTGATTTGTACCTTTGGTCAATCATCAGTCTAGATCCATTCCCAAACAGATTTACCTCAAATCTTATGAAGCACACAAGTATTATTCTAAAATCTCTCACAAGAAATATATAAGCAGCTTCTGATCCAGAAGTGTGAGAAAAATGTAAGGAAGCCCCCCTCACCCTCCTCAGAAAGAATGGCGTGAGAAAAAAGAGAAAAGTACTAAAATGGGGAAAATGAAGAGCAAGACCAAAGAACACACTTTGGTGCTTCACTTTTGAAAACAGATTAACAAATGCTAATAATTTCATTCAATAATTCTCATTGGTACTTCTCAAACAGGACATTCCTCAAGATCAAGGTAAATTTGCAGAATCATACTGCAGTACATGAGTGGCTTAAGAATCCCTTAATCTTTGTATCTCATAATATTCCTTTGTCAATAACTAAGATAGTCATTGATTTATTCAGCAAACATTTGACACCTACTACATGCCACAAAGTTAGACATCAGGGAGGAAAAAAGAGTAAGACAAAATTCCTGACAGCCAGGTCTGGAATGTTGATTACACATGTAATATATTGGATTAATGGGTTTTATTGATACAGGATCTAAGAGGATTCACAGAAAAGAGCAGTCAAATAGAAGCAGCAGTCTCAAAAAGGGGAAAGAGATGTATCCCTAGAGCGAACATTACATTCAAAGGCAAAGAGATGCACTCATCAGAGCCTTCCCAATTCACAGACAGCAGCACTTGTATTACCTGGAGGCTTATTAGACATGTAGAATCTCATCATCCCCTCACCACACCTACAAAATCAGAATCTACATTTTAACAAGATTCCCAGGGAATTACAGTTTGAGAATCCCTGTCATAGAAGTCATCATAGTAATCTGTTATGGCGAGAACACAGGATGCCATAGAAAGAAACTGAGAGGTGAGGCTAGGAGGTATCTCCAGCTTCCAAAATATCTATGCTAGTGTCTGGACCTAGAAACAGTGAAGCCACCACAGTGCTTAACTGTAAATAAGAAAATGACAAGATCCGGGTACCAGGAACACTAGGGAATGATACAAGGGCTGGAGGAAAGGACGATCCATTCCAGATGAAGTAGATGTCATAGGATTTAATCATTTGTGCAATCAATCAATAAAGGGGGACAGTGAGACAGGAATGAAAAATTAAGCATAAAGATGTCTAGGTTATTTCTGGGAAACAGATAGAAACAGCAACATTCACAACACAGAACACAGGAACAACAAATTTGGGAGAAAATTTGAGTCCAACTTGAGATGTGTTGAGTTTGAAATACTTATAGTTCAACCGGGCAGAGGCATCTACTAGACAGTCGACATTCAGGAGAAATAACACTGTCATCAGAAAGACAAGTAGGGGATAAAGTCCTGAAAATGAAAGAGGTCACCCCCAAAAAGAAAAAAAAAGTGAGAAAATATAAAAGGACCAAGGACAAAATCCCCAAGGACATGAACATTTAATACATGATCATAGAGGAAAAAAATGTAACAAAGTAAGTGAGAAAATCCTAAGAAGAGAATCAGGAGCCTTATTTTCAATGGGAAAAGAGTCAGAGGTGAGAATAATATGTCAGAGGTTAAGGCCTAAAAAGTGGATTGGATAATGCTCAGATTTTTCCTTTGCAAAACTTAAAATTCACAGAAACATAAATGACTAGTAAGGATATATAGTATATCAACAGCTCTCTTTCTGAGTAACAGAATTAAAGGTGAATTTTAGTTTACCGTTTCACCTCCTGTATTTTGTAATTGTTTCTCAAGTCACCTGACTTGAGAAATTTTAAATTTTAAAAATATGCAAAAAAGTTAATACAAAAGACAATGATATCCTCTACCAGGAGTATGACTGCAATGGGAAGAATGAATGAAAAGCGAGGAAACAAAGAAGACTGGGGAGTATAGACAGGGAAATGACCAGGAAGTTTCCACATTAAATATAGAGTCCTGGGAAAGGTTTTGTTTTTCAGGTAGGAAAAATCTGGGCATGCTCACAGGTTGTAGGAGAGAAGATTTTGTATAAAAAGAGAACAAATACTTCTTTATTGCCTGCTATGATCTGAGCACACACAAGTGAACAAGACAAAATTCTGCTCTGAAACAGCTTACTTTCCACTAAGGAAACAGAATAAGTTAATAATATCAGGCAAGAGAAATGTGAATAAAACTTAAATAAGTAATGTCATTTTTTATTTTTTAGATATGTTGAGGTAAGGATTCTCTGAAGAGACATTTGAGTCCTGAATGACAAGAAACCAGCTTTATAAAGACCAAGGGAAAGGCCTGGTTACCTCTACTTTATAGATAATGAAACTGAGGTTTAGACAGGACCGGTAAGAGATTATGCAGCAAGGAAATGAAATCCAGTTCTGATGATGACTCAGACTAATACCCTGTTCACTCTATTCAGCCTTCCACAACTGCAACAGTGAAGATGAAAGATAACATTGACCATTCTCTGGCCTAGAGGAAAAATTGGTATGACTTTCTCAAAAGAAAGTCTGCAAATCCAGAGATACAGTTCTGTAAAAAAAGAGGCTTTTTTTTAATATGATTTTTATGATTTCTGAAGGCTAACTGTTCAGGCCTCATACAAACATAGGCAGGCTCCAAGTTACAAGTAGGCTACATTCTAAAGATTTATAGCTAAGTTAAGAAACTCTAAAATGTTTTCTTCATATGATTTTATGCAGAGATTACATTTCCAGGCTGATCCATATAATCTTAGCTATCACTGTTATAATAAGTAATAACACTCTTACTATGTCAGTGCTTTATATAGGTAATACTCCCAACAGAATCACTGCTCCAATCTTTTTTTTTTGGGTGGGACTGGGATTTGAACTCAGGGCTTTGCACTTGTAAAGCAGGTGCTCTATTGCTTGAGTCACATCTCCAGTCCATTTTGCTCTGACTACTTTGGAGATGAGGTCTTGCAAACTATTTGCCCCTGCTGGCTTCAAACCTCAGTCCTCCCAATCTCAGCCTCCCGAGAAGCTCTAAGATTACAGATGTGAGCCACTGGCACCGAGCTTCAGTGCTCCAATCTTATAGCTAAAGACCATGAGGCCTGGAGATGTCCAATGATTTGTTCAATGACATAATGCAAATAAAATGAGAAGCCTGGCTGGGTGCTGGTGACCCATGCCTGTAATTCCAACTACTCAGGAGGCAGAAATCAGGAGGATCACAGTTCCAAGCCAGTCCAGGCAAATAGTTCATGAGACCCTACCTCAAAAAAAAAAAAAAAAAAAAAAAAGCCCCAGTACCACAACAACATAAAAATGATGAGAAGCCTGAAATTCAGCTCCCCGCTATTCCAGATCATTAGCGCTTAGTCTTTATGCCAGACCCCAAATAACCTTTATGAGCTTTGTAATCTCTCCAAGCCAAAACCCAAGTACTCATCTCCCCTTTTCTGGTGATTAGAATACTACTCTAATTAACATCCTCAACCTTCCTAATCCTCTTCTCCCAAGTCTATACTAGATCTACCTCCCTGTAACCTCAATCCATGAGGAGCAGTCACTCACTCATTTGACATCCACTGAGATTTTCACAGTGCCTAGCATGAGTTCACTTATTCATTCAATAACAGATCCTACTCCTACTGTGTCAATTCCCAACCCACAGGACACTTTCATAAATACTGAGAGAAAAGTCCATGCAAGAAAACGCACGCAAAATCCCAAACTTATCGATCATAAGTCATATATCTAGCTCTAAACTATTCCTGGCTCAAACAAAACTCCTAACCCTACACACACCCCACCCCACCCCCAATCCCACGAGGGACAGCACCCAAGTTGGTCAATTCTTACGAGAGGAATACCACCGACCCCCGCAGTAGTCTTCAAAGACCTCCACTCCCGCTGCACTGGCAGTCTGCAAGTGGGCAGACTTGCAGTCTGCACTTGGACAGTCCCAAGGTGGCGAGTTCAGAAGTCAAGCCGGAAACCATGCCTGTGGCCATGACCTTCTCAAAGCGCGCAACCCTGTTACCCAAAAAACCCTGGCGCAGAGCGCGGTCCACTAGCACCGGGAAAATAGGTCCAAGGGCGGCGAGGAACGCAGAGAAATACAGAGCGGGACCTGACCCCGGCCAACGCAGACCACCCCACCGCAGCCTGGCAGGACGAAGGCCTGGGCACTCACCTCGTAGCCCGCCAGGCGCGAGCGGCCGGCAAACTGGGAACAGAAGGCGACCGGGCTGGGCCACCCGCAAGAAGACGCAGGGACAGCGGAAGGCGCGAGGACGCCCCGGCACTCAGGAGCCAGCGAGCCGGTCTTAGCAGGGCTGCCATGGCTCGGCGGTCCCCACAGAGGCATGCGTTCCGCCAGAAGGACAGGCGAAGCACATGACGGCAGGGTCACCCGGCGCGGGAGAGACCAAAGATTGGGCGCGCCCAACGTGGGAGGAAGCAAGGATTGATTTAGGTTGAAAGCTGGAAAAGCCAATTTCTCTGACGCCATTGAGAGTCTCATTCTGTAACTGGTTAAACTATATTTTTAAATTTATTACCTAAGGGGTTTTCTTTCCGTCTTAACATCCTTCATCTCAGAAGGTTCAGTCACTCCCCCCCTGCGTCTACAGTTGGTAGAGTCGCAAGAGGTCGACTCCGCCCAGGTTAGTGCAGGGGCTTGTGGGAGGCCAACCAGTAAGAACCCCGAGGACTGTGGAGCCGGCCGACTGTGATGATGCCAGAGTGTGGGATAATTCGTTACCCCTGACGTTCGAAGGCTCTTGTTAACTAACCACTGAAGTTCCCACCGTACTCACTGACAGGAACGTGCCATAGCTCTCAAAAATGCAGGCCGGAGAAGACGTTGAGGACCTTTGCACTGTGCTCTGGGCCTCCAAAGTTAAATTTAGTGTGATTTGTATGATTGGGGGTGGGGACAGTGCACAGGAATACTACAGAAATGGATGGGAACATCTAGGAAGAATATGTACCCAGAATGAGTGGATGCTCTAGCCCTGATAACCTACTCTGCAGCCAATATTTTGTTCCTTCTCCCCAACATGCTGGAGATGAAACCCAGGGCCTCAGACATGCCAGGCAAGTGCTATACCGCTGAGCTATACCACCAGTCCCAACGCTTCCTCTTGAAGTATGTAGTAACTACAAGTGAAATTTGTCCTGCCATTCACTTATTCACTGATGGATTTAGTCACCTATTTTGAGCGCCTACAATCTGCCAAGCAGCAAATAAATGCTGAGCAAAATATGGTGGGCAAAGGCAAGAGTGATCTTTCCAGATACAGAATTTACATTCCAGAGGGCAAGGCAGGTATTAATCAAATAATCACACTAAATGTACACGCTAAAATACAGGTTTTGAGTTTTGTTTAGTTTTTTCCCAGTACTGGGGTTTGAACACAAGGCATACACCTTGAGCCACTCCACGAGCCCTTTTTTGTGTTGAGTTTTTTCAACATATGATCTCACGAACTATTTGCCCAGGTTGGCTTCGAACCACAATCCTCCTGATCGCTGCCTCCTGAGTAGCTGGGATTACAGGTGTGAGTCACCAGTGCCCAGCTAAAATAAAGACTCTGAAGGAAAGAGACAGGTTTCCATGAGATAGTGTGCCTCACCAGAAATCAGGAAGCCTTCCCAGAGGGTAGAGTTCTGAAGTATGAATACTTGTTCCAACATACAAAGTGCTTGCACACCAACGTGTGTAACAAAGTGTGTGAGAACCAGGCACTGGGGGCTCACGCCTGTAACTCTTAACTACTTTGGAAGCAAAGATCAAGAGGACCGTGGTTTGAAGCCTGCAGGCCAAATAGTTCATGAGACCCTATATCGAAAACACCCAACACAAAAAGGGACTTGTGGAGTGGCTCAAGTGGTAGAGCGCCTGCTTAGCAAGTATGAGGCACTGAATTTAAACTTGCTTAGCTTATGCTGGCTACGGTGGACTCCAATTTTTGGTTAGAAAGTTAGGATCCCTATTCTCAGCGAATGGAATAGACCCTGAGCAGAATCTTACTAGGAAGAAGAGTTTAGAAGCTAGGCTCTATAACTACGGAATGCCTTGGCTTCCTTTGCGCAAAACTGGTGATATTTATCCCTTCCCTCCAAACTTTTTGGAGAACATTAGATAAAATAACTAAAATGCTTACAGTGCCAGGCAAATAGGAAGCTCCGAAAAATACTGCAGCTATTAAAGGTTGAGTATCCCTAATCTAAAAATCCAAAATCAGAAGTGCTCCAAAATTTGGAACTTTTTGAGTGTCATGTCAGTACTCAAAAAGTTCCAAATTTTGGAGCATTTCAGAATGTGGGGTTTTAGATTGGGGTGCCAAACTAGTAAAGTGTATCCAAATAGTCCAAATAAAAAACTCCACACTTCTGATCCTGAGCACTTTAGATAAGGGATCCTCAACCTGTCTTACGACTGTTGCTTTTCACAATCAAGTCTAAACCTCATAAATGTGGGTTCTTTTCCAGTCTCCCCTTAGGCTCTCAAACTCCTAATTCAGTATTCAGTTAGGTAGTGTATGCAAAGCACCACTAGCAATCTACATTTCAGGGCAAAGAAGTTCAGCACTTGATGCACTTAGTTTATGAGGAAGAATAAGACAAATGTTATATGGGTAGCCATTACATAAGGCAGTGCGAGGAATACAATAAAGTGACACCAATGTCACCGACTGCCAGCTGAGTGGGACCACAGAAGAAGGTCCCATCATAGGAATGGCATTCCAGCACTTGGAGGCTGGCAAAGATGTAAAACAGTAAAGATGGTGGTGAAGGAAGATCCAGGCACAATGAACAAGAGCAAAAATTTAGAGCCCTCTTGCCCCACACATGCCTCCTTAAACTTCAGATTTTGTGTTCAGTCACAGAACTCCCAGAGGGAGCTACCCAGAACTTATCAAAGCAAGGATCGCTTCCAAATACTTCCAAGCTTCTGCAACTGTGACCAATAGTGAGGAATGGATTTTGTAGAGGATGCAAATACATACAAAAGGACATTTCATGAAACAATAACTTGCCTTAACTACATGTGATGGCCTTGTATATTAACTCATCTATTTTCTTGTATTCTTTTTTGAAATTCTGGGGCTTGAACTCAGGACCTCATACTTTGTAGGCAGGTACTCTACCACTGAGCCACTGTGCCAGCCTTACATTTCATTTTTTTTTTAAATGTTGATTGATCCTAATATGAACAAACCACTTAGAACATTTTTGAGACACTCAAGGAAATTTGATTTTAGACTGTGAGAATTACTGCTAATTTTTAAGGTGTAATGATGGCTTTATGGTTATGTAAGAGAGAGAGAGAAACAGGTTAGCGCTGGCATATATTCACACATTAACATGATGTAAGGCATTGTGTTTATGATACTTCCTCCAAAGAATAAAATAAAAAACACAAAACCATAAGAAGAATAAATAAGACAACATCTTTAATTGTTATAATTTTTGAACCCAGATGATGGGTATGTGGGAGGTCATTTACTCTAATTTGCATAGGGACTGGGGATGTGGCTCAGTGGAAGAGTACTTGCCTAACATATACAAGACCCTAAATTCAATCCCCAGCACCACAAAAAAAAAAAAGCTCTTAAAGGAAAACAATTTAGGCCAGGCACCGGTGGCTCGTGCCTATAATCCTCACTACTCAAGAAGCAAAGATCAGGATGACTGATCTCCATAAAATCACCACAAAGAAAGGACTGGTGAAGTGGCTCAAATAGTATAGTGCCTGCCTAGCAAGTATGAGGCCCTGAGTTCAAACCCCAGTGCTATCAAAAAGAATTATGAATTATGGATGCATTCTTATTTTGCTGATCATTAACACAGCATGACTTAGAGTTTGAGAAGCACTGAGTTCAGTCATGTTGATATAAATGCAAAAAAGATAGAACCACCTAGTAGATAAATGTACCAGGCTGTAATCCTCAGAGCACAGACCTGTTCATGGGAACAATATGGTGGGTTGATTTCTCTAATAGATACTTCTCAGACATCAAAATGTGCTATTGTCTCTAAATCATTTCACATAAAATATTAAACACCTTTACCATCTAAGACAAGACAAAGATTTTCATTGAAGAACAAAATTCTTGTTTTGGTAGCACTAGGGTTTGAACTCAAGGCTTACAACTTGCTAGGCAGGCATTCTTATCACTTGAGCCATTCCACCAAACCTTTTCGTGATGGGTTTTTTTGTTTGTTTTTTGAGCTAGGGTCTCACGAACTATTTGCCTGCACTGACTTCAAACTGCAATCCTCCTGATCTCTGCCTCCCAAGTAGCTAGGAATGCAGGCATGAGCCACCAGCGCCCAACTAGGAACAAAGTTTAAAAAGAAAGAAAATTTACCTTTAAAATTCTGACCTGAAAAGACAGTACTCAACAATGCAGCAGATAATAATCTTGATTGTCTTCAGTAAATAAGCTTTTTTTTTGGCCTTAAAATAGTTTATGAGCATCACAGAGAATCAGAAAATAAAACTGACATGCCTATTTGTTGGCCTTTTTGTAGTCTCCTGCAATTTTCACACAAACCCGTTCAAGATAGTGTCAGCAAAGAACTAAATGATTGCCTTGAGTTTAAAAGTTTATATTGCCAAAAAACCTTTACATATTTAAGCAGCAGATCTAATGTTTAGCTGTGACTGTGTTTTCTCTTAAGGCAACTTATCTGATGAATCGAAGGCTTTTCCCATCTGTAACAACATTTTCATACCCCAATCTATTCATGTATGTAATTCCCAATTATTCAAAAAATATTCTGCTCAGACCCTTGTTTGCATACAGAGTGTGTCATTATAAGCGGAGGTCCACTTTGTCACTGTTACACCCTTCAGCAACACTTCTGTCAAACCACGATTCTTTCATAAGTGCACAAACCAGGAAGACAGATGCAGGGTTGTTTACTATAAGAAAATAACCCATGCTGGTTGTTGCTGATATTTTCCCAGTGTTATACCATGTGTGAAGACTGGAAAGTTTAAGTGTTTCCCATGGGGCAGAGAGTGTCTAGATAAATCAATGTAGAATGCTAGTCAAACATGATTGGCATTTCAATGTACTATGCAACCGAGTTCATTCCAGACAGAAATGATTATAATCCTTATAGTAGCTGAAAATAAACTTTAGAAAGTCTTAATTGAACAGTCATCATTAACTGCAAAACTGTGACATGAGTTTCTTAAATCTCCTGGTTAAATTGCTTTTTTTATTTGTTTTGTTTTTAAAGAACTAGAAAGTGGTTTAATTTTCCCTGAGCATATACAATGTAGAATTTCTGTTTTAGCTTGTGACTCTAAGGGTTGAACAATAATTTCCCTTAGACACTTTTTTTTTTTTT